AAGGCCTCTGTGAGCGTGTGGGACGCTGCTCACTCAGGAGAGAGCTGTGCAATGTGGCTCCATGGAGACCGACACAAAGCTGCATTGATGAACCTTTTTCTTTCCTCCTCTCCATCATAACAAAGGGAGATTGGGTCCACACATGCTCCTCTAACTGATGCATCCCTGCATCTTTGAGGACAAACTGAGAAGTTTTTACTTTTACTCACAGCAGTCGAGATGCGTTTCCAAAAGGAGCTAACGGGGTTGTCGGGGCATTCCTCCCATTTTGGGCAGCGGGTGGTCCGTGTTTCTATAACAACAGCAAAACACATTAAAAGTCAGTAAACTGTTCGCCTAACAGAAACCTGGAAGCACAGGGTCGAAAACATTAAAGGACACAAGAAAAACCTACCTAAAAAATATCTGTTAATGCATGAAAATGTATGTGAAAAACATTTCGGATGGTCATGAAGTGTCCCCAACCCCCCCACCCACTAAGCAAACCCTGAGTGATAGGTTTGTAATTCAGATTTTGAAGTCCTTCAGCCTTCAATCGGCCGCTTTTACAATTTTTGTCTTGGTCTAAGAGTGAAACTGGACAAAAACCGTCAAGAAGACTTGCATTCTGACCAGCCTCACTTTCGTTTCCCTTATTTCCACACCAGGTGAGCCCATCCAGGACAGATCCCAGCAGACTGTCCTCCACCGTGACGAAACAGTCTGTCTTCCCAGTGAAGTCGTGGACCACATCCTTTGTTTTGCTCCAGAACATCGCCTAACCCGGGATTAAAGTTATCATATCATTAATCAGGTTACGCTTGCAAATTACACGCGTTTCTACAGAAAAAAAAAAAAACACTGGTGTTATATATATTTACCTTGTCTTGTAGAGGTTCAATGGGAGCTAAAGTCATGAGAGGGTCATAATCCTCCATGGGAACTTTACAAGGGTCCTTCTTCACGTAGGCCTTTTGAAAGGCATCCCATAGTTGTTCACACTTGGTCCTGGAAAACACAAGATGGTATTTATCATTGAAAGATCATTGCCATGGAAGCAATGCCAATTTGTAGTCAATTGTGAAATAATTGACCTGTCCAGGCTGTCCACCCTCGACAGGTCACCACACAGATATAATAAAGAATTTGTGTTAGTTTCCATTTGTTATTTAATTTTTATGATTGTTGTCTGTTGGTGTTGAAAATATAAAATCCCAAAGAAAACAATGGGAGAAAATTATTGTGGAACATTTTTTTTAGAATTACAGCACTTACTTCTGTGACTTCTTGAACTTCTGGCATTTTTCCAGAAAG